CAAGACTGGATATAGGCTAATTTGTGCACCGTTGACAGAATCCCGTGCCTTAGCTGTCAGTTGAAAAGTTCCAGTAAAAAATGGGGGATGGGACAATATAACCCAGATAGCAATATGATCTTCTTGATTTTAAGTGTTGGAACTGATACTTTTCTGTTTCATACTCCATTTCAACACCTCCCCAAGTCTCCTACTCCAGAAAGAGGAGATATGACTCTTGCACTTTTCATGGCTCAGAACAGGGAGCAGGAGACAAGATGGTTCTGTTGTAAAGAGCACTGGGATATTAGCTGAAGAACTGAGGGAGGCTGAAGAACTGGTGGCAGACATTCAGTTTGGTTTTCAGCAGAATCCCACACACTACTTTATTCTGACTCATATTATTATGAGTCAGAAAGCCCTTTAAAAGGTGTTGAGTTGCATATGGAAAATTTCTTCCTTCTTGGTTAGCAGAAAGACAAATGTATGTCATAAGTTAACTCACCACTAGAAGTGTGAAATCCTTTTACCAGTTAGCTATCTTATAACTGAGTAATGTAAGCAGATTTGCATTGACTGTGATATTTGCTTGGTAGTAGTGCTATTTTTTTTTACCTAGAATGTGTATTAACTGTTTTTCCATAGATTTCCGTAGTCAAAGCAGTTAACTTGACTCTTCAACAACAGTGTGATGCCCTCCTGGTATCAGGTAGCCAGAAGAAAGTGCTGGAGATGTTAAGGAAGTTGAAGCAGCAGCACTTCATCTCTGATACTTAGTTCAGCCAAGGTGCGGAGAGCACTAGTGGGAGCTAGTGGAGACAGGGACAACTATTACATGAGAGTACAGATGGCCTGTATTCTGGTACAGAATATCCTGCTTCTCTCAGTCAGTCAGTCCAGTAAATAACAGCAAAACTACTGAAATGGTTTCTGATGAGTTTCTTCTGTGTTCCTCACAAAAGCACTGTGACTGGAAAACCTTGGTAATATCATTCTTTACTTAGCAGCTAGAGCTGTCAGCAAAAGCTATCCCTGCCAGGTCTTTTCTATATATGGAAAGTTTGTGGAATTTTTAAATGTATTCAATTGGGACAGAAAGGTAAAAAAAAGAACACCCCTGAAGTTAAGTGCAAAGCCTCCTGAATCACCCTGGATCCAGAAATGGTCCAAATATCTCTGAAGCAGAGATATTCACATTAGGTTCAAGCTTCATCCAAAATTTGCACAGCCTTATGGAGCTGCAGCTACAAAGTTCTTTGGATCTTAGCATCTGTATAAGCTGACATGGCCATAATTTATATTCTATACTTTATACAAACTACTCTGGTTTATGCTTTTTTTCAGAAAGCTGCATATGGTAGCTTCTCAAACTTATATTTTTCAAAGATACATTGCCTGTAAAAATAATTTGAAATCATCAAAAGCTCCGAAAAGATTATTGTAGCAAAGTTTACACATGTCTTGGTGCATACAATGCTTTGTGAGCATTTAAACTCTGGCTTAATTTTAAAGTAGTAGAACATACTTTTGTATTCATTCAGAAAGATCCCAAGTAACTTGTTCTGAATATACCTGCATTGTTCCTTCCTCTTTTTTTCCCCAGGAAAACAGTGCTTCTTAGTCCTACGTCAGCAGCAGTTTAATGTCCAAGCTCTAGTGGCTGTGGGAGACCATGCAAGTAAGCAGATGGTAAAGTTTGCTGCCAAGTAAGTAAGCAATTATATCCTGTTGTCACAGTAAACAATGGTGGGAACTCAGGCTCCCAGGGGTTGGGACCATTTTCACACATGAACATCAATGCTGCATTTGTTTTTTAAATGTAGTTATTTAAATTGTCAGTTCACTATGGTGTTGAATGCATCAGACTTACAAAAGACAAAATGGAACACAGGCTTGAAATTCATTCTGAACTGCTGAGAAGGCATTCTGTCTCTGCAGACAGTTCCCATTTACTTTCAAGCCAGCTAACAAAAAGGTTGGCAGGCTGAGCTTGGAGAAGTTATTTCTCTGGATGTTTGTGTGTGCGTGTGAACACAGGCGCAGCCCTTTTTTCCTTAAAGATCAGATCTTTGCCGTATAATGTATTCTGTCTTATCTGAATGCCAAATACAAACTAAAGGTATTTAGAAGAACTAAGAAACTAATTTGTACTCATTTAATCATCTTTAGCAGCACTGCATTATATCCTCCCCATACAATTTTTTCGCAGAGTATTTGGCTTTGTTTCTGTTTAGCAAGAAGCATTATGGTTGCAGGTGCCCCTACCATCCACCGGTGCCTTTAAGATTTGGATCTGATGAATTGGTAGTCTCTGAGTTACTAAAACAATCTGGGAATGAGGGCAGGAAACAAGGTTTCCTAGAAAAACCTAGGAGGTTTCTAGAATTTTAGAATGACTATGTTTGAGCTTTTTTTTCTGGTTTTTAAAGTTAAGCCAATGTGAGAGTGCATGGGCTATGTTTTGCACCCTTTAGTTCTAAGTCGAGTTCAGAATCTGATATGGTATTTTACATGCCTGTGTTTCTGGGTGGCTTTTAAGATAGTAGAAATGTGTGCAAGTTCAGCTTTTAAACTGTTTTGTTCATATGTAAAATATGGGTGCACCTTAGGGATAAAATGTCTAGCAATACGGGGCAAATAAGATACTAGAGAATTTTTTAAAAAGTTTAGCCTTTAAACTATGGGTTGAAGAAGGAAGTAATGTGATCTTAAACTTTTCTAATAACAAGTTTCAAACCATTCTGGCAATTTAGATCAGCACGATGTACTAGTGGTTACTGCACTTTGTAGAAATAACAGTATTTATAGGTATTTAGAGCCAGTGTGAAGTGCTCAGTTTGTTCTTTTCATGGCTTTGAGATTCAATTTTGTTCTAGTTCTCTAAGAACATAATTAGAGAAAAGTTGGTTTTCTGTTCATTTGGTCTTTCTAAATGGTGCTTTCACTACGTTGGCTTCAACTGTATCATGAGTCCTCAGTTGACCTTTCTAATGGTTTCAGTTCCCCTGTGCAGCTTTTCATGGTCATCTGCTGTGCATCAGGCATTTCCTATTGTATCTTCTGTTCGTGTTGTAATATTGAAGCTTTTTCTACCAGAGTCATGAATCTTACCTCTAATCGTCAATTTGTCATCTCTGCCTCTTAGACAGCTCCCTGGGCAATTCATTCAGTTGCCCAATTATTTCTTTAGTACAACTTTTTAAATGCACTCCGTGTAATACTGTATGCAGTTTATACTTTATTAAAAGTTCCCTAAAGTGCTTTACTGTCTTCATCTAGGCCTCACCTACCCATATGCACACTTGATCTTGTTCTGTCCTAAGTATTATTTGCCATGTCCTTTGTCACTATCCCCTGCCCCCCCAACTATGGTAACTTCTCAGCCTCCTTTCCATCTGTGTTAGGCCACCGTAGCCACCATTCTCAAAGTCCCCCAACCCATCATCTAACTACTGATCAATCTCACTGCTATCTTTTGTTTCCAGACCCTTCTGTTCTTCAGGCTCTACTATCTGGCTTCTGCACTTCACTGACACTACCCTTATTAAAATTGCATGATTTTCCCATTGTCAAGTCCAGAACAGTAGGTAGCCATATTGGTGCATTAGGGAAAAATCCAAAGAGTGCAGCATACTTAATTCCTTTATTGGAACCGACAATGACATCAAAAATTATGATCCACTGATTTGTTTAACAGCTAGCCATATTTCATTTAACATCACATCCTGGACAACTCAAAAGCTTTCTCACAACGTTGTGTCATTCCTTCTGATAAAGGTATTGCCACAGTGTGCTCATAGATTTTTGTTAAATTAGAGCCTTTCTATCCCTTTTCTTTGACCTGTGTTTGATACAATTGATCACCTTTTACTGGAATGTTTATCACTCTTTTCTTAAATGTTATCTCTCCCTCACTCATTCACCTTTTCCACTGGAAGAATCCCTTTTTCTGCCCTTCCCTTGCCTATTGAACTGCCTTGGAACCTGTTCTTGGTTCTTTCTACTCTCCTTGCTTTTGGTACTGCTTATATTTTGATAAGCATTTTATACCAATCTACTCAGATCTTTCCTCCTCCTGACTACGCTTGCAGAGTTATTCTATTGTCTGACACAGCCAATGTTATCTCATTGTTGCATCAAACTCAACTGTCAAAGATTGAGCTACTTTGTTTTCCTTCCCAAACTGTCTTTGCAATCCCTCAACAGATTATTTTTTATAACAGCACCACCACCACCTTTTTGTACACAAACCTAAAGAATAGGGGAGCAAAATCTACCCATTGCTACTCTTGAATTGCCTATATTCGAATTGTGTGCTTAAAGGTAAATATGTGGGTAAAAGGTAAAGTTTTACTGCAACTGTTCCTTGTATGCACATTTTAGTTGACGTGCTGGTGTGTTGACTGGGTACATATTGTTACTTGACAACCTTTTTGACTGTGGTTAAATATTCCAAGAATGTCTTTATATAAATTCTCTTTTTAAATGTTTCTACATTTCTGATTCATTATCCAGGATGGACGTGTGGGCAGCTTTCCCCTAGTTCTATAGGAGTTGAGGTAAACCATATAACCAGAGCAGAGCTTCTCCCACTGGCTCCCTGCTGTAAATGCTAGTATCTCCAGAGGCATCATCTAGTGGCTAGAGGTCTAAACCAAGGGAGCACACATTCAAATCATCACTTAGACATGGAATCTATTAGAATACATTGGCCAAGTCACATATCATGCAAATTTACTCTGGCAGTAAACCATGGTAGATTGGTTCCTCTTTCCCTTTAGCCTTCCTGCCAGCATCTCAAGGGACTCCACAACAGGATTAATTGCAAGCCCTTTTTGCTTACTTCAGGTTTTTTTCCTCCCTGCAATTTTATTTTATTTATTTTATTGTGGAGATCATGAACAGTAATTTCCAAACTGACATCTAGTGACAGCTTCCCAAAACGGTTCAAGTGGCACACTGGAGAAACTGTCAATGTTCAACCACTATTTAAAAAATTGCACCCCAGAAGTACACATTTTTTCATAATTGTTAAATTGTTTTTAGTTGGACTTGTGCAACATTTGCTTTTCACAGTTGTCAGAAGTAGGGGTTTCTTTAGGGTGGATAGATAGCATATTTTGGACAAGGAAGTATACAGATTTCATGTCAGCGACTCCCAAAGTTATGAAAGTTCTCAGTTATGTGCTAATGAAAAGAGGAACTATTACTTGTTTACTTACAGGAACCTTGTACAATAGGTGCAAGACTGATATAAACTTAGTGCTTGTAAGTTCTCTCCTTAAAACACAGATGTGTCTCTCTTCCACACCAGATGTTCAAAACTGGTCTTGGATAGATTCCATGAAAAGGGATGATAAGCCATATCAAAGGCACAGACATTTATAAATGCAAAAAGATGGATAACAGCACCCAAAGTTAAATATGCATGCACCAACTCAGCATTCTGAGTTTTATACTAAATAAATATGTTTAGCTGATGTATTCATCAGCTTTCATGCAGAAACTACATCTTGACTGATGCATTTCTGCTATTGGTCATTATAAATTATGTTCTTATGCTCAACCTGAAAATCTTTAGCAAGCTTGCTAAAGTCAGCAGAGTGGAGCTGTTCAACTAATGTCATTGTAAAGTATAAGACAAAAACAAGAAGGGGTGATTTAATGACAACAGGATTTAGTAAAGCACATTTTGTTTTGTTTTTATCAAAAAGCTTCAGACCTGTGCAAGAAGGGTTGATGATGGTAGGAAGTACTACACTGCTTTTCATTTGTACCCTTTTAGATTATGACACATAAAGCAAGCTAAGACTGCAGTCCTACATACAGTTTCCTGAGTAGACATATATATGATTGTACTAAATAGATAACTTTATTCAGCTGATCTCCTAGATTGTTGTCTTCTGGTTTTTTTCAGACAAAATGACTTCAGTAGTTTGTGCATTTAGTTATTCAAAATATTTATATCCTGCTTTTCTGTCACATTAATGCAACACTCTAAGTGGCCACTGGTGGTATTATTTTCTGTTTTAGTACCTCTTTGGATAGTGCATTCATAAAAAGTTCTGCTGTGGAAATTTTAATATTATTTACCTTTTAGATAATGTTCTGTGGTTGGAGCTGCTTTGATTTCATTTAAAGTTTTTCACCAGACACTTCTGGATTCCCAAATTTTGTATTTCCAAATTATGAGTAGTACATCCACTGACCAACTTAATTCAATACCAGCCTTCTAATATTTGTTGTTAGTCGTGAAGTCGCGTCCGACCCACCGCAACACCATGGACAACATTCCTCCAGGCCTTCCTGTCTTCCACTATCCCCCGAAGTCCACTCAAGCTCACACCAACTGCTTCAGTGACTCCATCTAGCCACCTCATCCTCTGCTGTCCCCTTCTTTTGCCGTCACTTCTAATATTAAGATAATGCAAATAACTGATATCATCAGATCATTTCATGAATTTTGTCTTGAGCAAACCCAAAATGGCAATGGTAAAACTAGTTAAATTTAACTAAATGGCATAGTTTCAAATTTAGCTCAGAATACTTGACTGGAATATTCAAGACGATTCAGTTGTCTTTTCCAGACATTTAGAATTGCTGCAACAGCAATAGCAGCAGCAACAGACTGAATGTAATTTAAGATCCTGGTCAGTGCTTGGCATTAAACCACAATTCCCTGTTTTGGATGTAAGAGGCGACTACA